GCCAGTCCCCTGACCGTTATGAATTACAAAGGAAGCCCAACGAGTTAATAACTCTGGGAACAAAACTGAAAAGAGCTCAGAATAAACCCTTTTAGCGATCTCATTTACGCTGTGTTAGCCTTAAAACCATGTAATAAATTCTTTTATTCACTAACAGTCCGTGCAAATTCAAGAGGTGAACGACGTAAACGCTCAAAAGCATGCAACATAAGTTATCAATAGGCGATATGCATTATGGCGTCATTCACTACAACTACCAGAATGGTTTGCCAACTTTCTTTTGTAATGTAATTAGTCCCAATTGTTTTATTAATCTCCAAGGGGATTAAAAATCTGAATAACAATGAAAATAAGGCTCTCTGGTAGTTGTAGTAAAGTTACGTCATAATGCAAACGGCCTATTGAGCAGGGATCAGCCGCGTATACGATTTCCAACACACAATTAACGCCATGAACAAGGTCAAAACAGCCGTATATCATATACGATATAGAAATGGAAGAAAGTTAATTCCGGGAGAAAAACCCTTAGGAATAAATTCGGAAAAAATAATTTACGATGGGACTTTCTCCCGGAATTGCCTCCTTCTAAGCACTATAATAAATGTCTTCCATTTCTTTATCATGTTTATCATAGTGCCATGCGGTCCTCATATTCATATGTATATCATATCAGGCGGTTGACAAAAGCGCAGAATGGATGCACTTTATCCGTAGTATCAAAACGAAYTAGACMTAAATTATACTAATTCCTTTATTTTCAATTTCTTTGTGTTATTGACACTAAATAGTCGTTATTATTCATATTTGTTTCACAGATCCTGTTTGCGCCCACTTTTAAATAAAACAGCAGATAAGTTTATTATCTTGAGCTATGGTTAGAATAACATATTAATCTTGCAGGTAAATAAGTGACCACTGAGCCTGTAAAAGAAAATTCATAGTGGTTACTACTCATTTTACTGCGAAACTTGACCTGAATTTTCACTCCTCCCTTATCTTCTATAATTCTAAATCGTGGTGGAAACTCAAAAAGAATACTATCAAAAGGCACGTTATATAATTATGAAGATGAATGGTTCTGATGAATGAAGTTCCTCTCGGTGAACCTACCAGACGTCATTATTCGCAGCCACATTTTCTCGAAAACTTGCATTCGTCACTCTCTGGATTGTTAGTCCACCAGCAGTCTTCATGGACGTAAGTACAGGTGTCTGGACAAGAACCTAGTACGTAGAATACATTTCGAAAATGTATTGACCATATGAAAACAGAGCAGAAAACTGGGAATGAACACCTCAATCGATTCACATTTTTAATCCGGATCTTTAAAAATCTGTTTGCACAATTACAGCTATTAGAAACTGGAGGATTTTTTTTTTCTAATGTTGGATATCAGCGGAGCTACGAGCATTTCAAACGTACGACAAAACGTGAAAACGATGCTGGTAAGGCCTCAATACTGATTTTCACTCAAACGTTTCCAATTTCAAACACCTGTAATTTCTGGTCCATAAATGTAAGAGCATTGAAACTTTCAGATCTTACTCATTATAATACGTTATTACAACGAGTAGTAATGCTATACTGTAATACTTATAATCAATGGCGCTATGATAGGCACACCCATTTTCATATATATGGTCTATAAACGTACTCTTCCTTTGTGTCTTAAATAAATGTTATCAGTACGTCAATACTTACGATCCCTTTTCTCCGCTACTCTTCCATCATCTATAAAATAATATCTTAATCTTAAAAGAATTTGGATGAATATCGGGACTAATTGTTTATTTTTTATCTGTGTTGAAGGAAATCCATAAATAAGGCAGAAAAACGCTTCTCTCATTTTTTTCATTGTCAGCGAATCGGCCACGATTTCAAGGATACTGACTCAACCATTCATAATCGCGGCCTAAACTTAGTAAATTTACAAAATTTGAGAATTGAATCTGTTGAAAAGGTTTTTTCTATGGTGTCATAGGTTTCAAATGAAATTCCTGGATTTTATCACAACTACTTAAGCCAAAAAAMCACCGGTGCAYTGTCCTCTGCACGCATTACAGTTTAATACGAGAGTATTATTATTACCTTCATATTCTTGCAGCGGAATTGCGTTAGCATTGGTTAGAGTAACCATCAAGAGGACAAACACCAAAGCCTTGTACATTGTGACCTTCAGGGAAGCTAACTGGTACGGTGAGCTGTTCAGAGTTCCGAATGAGTTGTTCAGTCAGCTAACGAACCTATAACGGTATAACAATCAAAGAATAAAGGAATAATTGTCACAGACAACATTCCTATAGTACTGGTACGTCCTTGTAGCAACGTAGTGATAGCTTTGAGGAGGTTTCAGCCAAACTACAATAGTAATTTTAATTTTAATATTATATTTCTTTGACCTTATTACAGCTGTACAGTGCATGGGAAAGTTAAAAACGTTTTGAGTTCCTGTAACAACGTTTGCTCTAACAGCCATGTAGCTACCGTTGGCACTGGATGGTATTAGACACGTATGCGTTACGTTAATTGGAAATGGTTCTCGTGCTCAAACACACAGGCAAAGCATAAAAATTTAAATGCAAACCAGAAGCAAAACGTGTTGAATGTTACCAAGGTGAATTCAATCCATCGTTGCGTGTGTTCCGCCCTTATCATCCATGCCTTCATTCGTCACATGCTGCTAATGACCGTGCAAATGTACAAATTGTTCACCATAGATATTCCTACAATTTGATGTATTTCTCTGACCTGAGAACAGCTGTACACTGCATGGAAAAAGATAAAACCGTTTGAGCGGTTCCTGCAGGAATTTTTGCGCAGATAGCCATAGCTACCATTGATGATGGATGGCATGAGACGCGTATGCGCTACGTTGGTACTGTTTCTGCTCAAACGCACTCAGTCAAACCATAAAAATCTCTATGTAAGCGCGAAGTAAAATTCACTTTGTAAGTGATACAGTAAAAACCCGCGTATAAGAAMAAGTGGATTAAGAACACCCAGGCCTGATTTTAGAAAATAAAGTACCATGGCAGGAGCCCATTACTAGGTAGTAATGGGCTCCTGGTACCATTTATATAAGAACACATTCAGTCTGAAAAATGAAAGTTGTTCTTGTATTGAAAAATATCAAAGATCAACATTTACTTTTCATTGCAAACATCAGTAATAATTATATGTAACAAAATATGAAACAAAATAATCATTGTATTAATTAATTTTGTCTACATATATATTGATTTCATCTATTGGCAGCCTTGTATGTTCCTTACTTTTTAAAAGAAACTTTTTTTAAGAACACTTAAGAACACTTACAGGAAGATTATAACCCTTTATATAAGAATGAAATCAGGCTGAACCGCCAAAACAGGTGTTCTTACACGCGGGTTTTTACTGTAATGCTCTCACGGATCAAGGCTTTGATGATAGTTTTTCCCCTCTGATATGATTCTTTGCAATTAAAAATTTTGGCATGGCTTATTATGCTAGATCGAGTCTTCTTTTCATGCAAATATTGATGAATAATAAGTTTCTTTGCAAGTGTAATCAGCAGCTTGCCTTGACCTTGATAATTTCTGATATCCTGATTCACAAAAACTTTTTGTGTAGGTAAATCCTTTGTGAAGGTTGGACCTCGTGAGAAGAATCTGTCCTACGACTGGCCATGGGTCCATACATGGGGTCACTATTGTACGTACAGAGGGCCTATCATGTACATATTTATGTGGAGAAAAACTTAGAAAATTTCCAAAGACTCAACCGAAAAGAACTTTTAGTCAAGGAACAAGGAAGAGCATTAGGATTCGAACCAGTCCTATTCGTTGCCTAACCCTATATTTTCCCTTAACCTAACCATTTAAGACAATAGAAATTCTGAAGAAATGTATAGAATGGCGGACTCTCTGTTTCCTTGATGAAAGTTTGAAATTTTGCCGCACTAGAATTGTTAAGAAAACTTATAACAGTGGAATATTTTTCAGCGACCGATGTAAAGACAAGTTTCAAGATAACTTTGCACTTAATACTCTGGCATCCTGCGTATATGAACACAATAATTTTCCTGTGTATAGATTCAAGAGCATGGGGCGAGAAGAGCCAGTCCTCTGTATGAACGTTATGATTTACAAAGGAAGCCCAACGAGTTAATAACTACTGGAACTAAACTGAGAAAGCTTAGAATTAGTCTAGTCTCCTACAGTGAATTACTTAAAAACTATGCTCAATTGCTTTTTATTAAGAAAYTGGGTAAAATTACATGCAAAATTGTACTATACTAAGTGATGGGGAATTGATTTCAGTGCACGAGGGAATGTTTTTCATTCRGTAGTCTTCGCGGTTGCCTTTCCAGTTGTCTGCATCAAGATCATCCTGCAAAATAACTAGTTCATGTCAATCGTCATGTMAAGCTGAATGATTTCTGCCAAACATACATTGTGCGAGTTATGTCTGAATCATTATTTTTTTATATATTTTGAGTACAGAAACACAAACAGCGGTAGAGATAGAAATAGGATTGAGGTATGAACTTAGTTAATAATAATCACGAAGATGGAACCGAGGTAAGCATCATTCATGACATGTATATGTTGAGCAATCTATTTATCCGCGTTTCACTTACGATTTGATTGTTATTATTGGTAGGGACATTCATAATTTCCGCAACTTAGTTTTGTCAACCAAAAATGCTTTCTTGCCCATCTGCATACGTGATCGTCTGACCCTTCATCCCAGGATGATTCCTCATGGCATTTTTCACGTAAACACGCGTATAGTGTGCATATTAGCTTTTGCTTGTAGACGCTTTTAGTTGGTGGATTCGTCGACGGATAACCGGTGTGTGCATTCGTCGGATTACCGGTGTGTGCATTCGTCGGATTACCGGTGTGTGCATTCGTCGGGTTACCGGTGTGTGCATTCGTCGGATAACCGGTGTGTGCATTCGTCGGATAACCGGTGTGTGCATTCGTCGGATTACCGGTGTGTGCATTCGTCGGATTACCGGTGTGTGCATTCGTCGG